CCATTAGTGGTCCCCTCCCTTCCCTGTCCCTTAGTGTTCTTCTAAGCTCTCCCCTCTTTTTCCTGTCCCTTGGGGTTTCTCTCCCCTCCACTCCCCTCCCTGTCCCTTGGTGCACCCCCCACCCCTTTAGTGGTCGCACTCCCCTTCCTGGTGTGCCTCCTACCTCTCTTGTAGCGTTGCCGAGTGGAGGATATCCCCTACAGGAGCTTCAATTTTCTGTACCTGGCCAGACTGACAGGGAGTGCTCTCTCAGTGAGCACCTCCGGTCAGTCTGGCCGGGTACAGGAAACAGAAGCTCCTGTACTGCGCTCCGCCACGCTACACTCAGTGGTGTATACACACTGACAGTCACACACACTCAATGACAAACACACAGACTCACTGATCTGACACACACTCATTCATTGACAGACACACTGATACTCACACACAGACTCAATGACAAAGATACTCTCACTGATTTGACAGACACTCACAAACACACACTGACAGACACACATACACTGCCACACTCATACACTCACATGCAGTACTCATACAAGCACTCACAGACACACACACACTCATACAATCACTCACAGACACACACATACACTCACAGACACACTCACTCACAGACACACATACTCATGCACACAGTCACTCACAGGCACACATACACTCACACACAGACACACATCACACACACACAGTCACACACAGACACACACTCAATCACAGACAGTCACTCAGGCACACATACACTCACACACAGACACACACACACAGACACACACTCAATCACAGACAGTCACTCACAGGCACACAGTCACTCAGGCACACATACACTCACACACAGACACACACACAGTCACACACAGACACTCACACACAGACACACACTCAATCACAGACAGTCACTCACAGACACACAGTCAATCAGGCACACATACACTCACACACAGACACACACACACAGTCACACACAGACACTCACACACAGACACACACTCAATCACAGACAGTCACTCACAGACACACAGTCACTCAGGCACACATACACACACACACACACAGACACTCACACACAGACACACACTCAATCACAGACAGTCACTCACAGGCACACAGTCACTCAGGCACACATACACACACACACACAGACACTCACACACTCAATCACAGACAGTCACTCACAGACAAACAGACACGCATACAAACTTAATAAATAAACATTTTCCACCCAGCCTCCCTACCTGGAGAGCTGGTGTGGATGATGAATCATTCCCTGGGGTCCAGTGGGGCTGCTGGGAGGCGTGCGGCAGTGCTGTGATCAGACGCGGCGAGGGAGCTCTAATCTCCACCCTCTGCTCCCTCGCGGCTGCCTTCTGATACCGCGGGAGCCGGGATATGACGTCATATTCCGGCTCCCGCGGCACCAGCAGACAGCGCGAGGGAGCAGAGCAGAGATTTTAGAGCTCCCTCGCCGCGTCTGATCACAGCACTGCCGCACGTCGCGCCGGGGATCCAGAAGGTGGCCTGGCAGGAGGGAAAGCTTCCCTCCTGCCGGTCACTGAAATATTGCGCCCCCGGAGCCGGTGCGCCCCCGGAGCCGGTGCGCCCTAAGGCGGCCGCCTGTGCCGCCTTATGGATGCGCCGGCCCTGACCGCGACCACCCAGTACAGTCAATTAAGCTGCGGTTACTGGGTGGTCAATTGATGGCACACGCTAGCTTCCCGGTACTCGCGCCTTCATGTGGCTTTCGGTAGTTTAACAGGAGAACACATACAGGCAGGGAAATAAACCGAACAAACAGATGAATGGAGGGAAAATAAATGTAATCCATATACAGACAGTTCTATCATTGCAGTATACTGAAAACAGATTGTTTCTAAAACCACTATTTAGGACAAACAAGAATTATCTTTATTTGTTAGTACCAGCATATTTTGCAGAGAGGCACAGGTTAAGTTTAATATTTTTAACAATGTTCTTCATATATTTCAAGACTGCGTACTTCTTACAGTATAAAAATAAAATCATTAGTGGAAAATTTACTCGAAATTTGCTATTAAGTTTTTTGGTATTATGTTTTTTTTTTTTTGTAGAATGATGTAACGATCAAAGATGATTTTAAAAAGCAAAGCAAAATGATTGTATATATGTTTTATATTAATATTTTGTGTTAGAACAGAACTATGTATTGTGTTTGAATAGCCCTAGTGTAACTAATAATGTACATTTTAGCACTGTAATCCGAGCCTTAAAAAAATAAAAGAGAAAAAGAATAGGAAATCATAGTTTCTGAAATAATACAATAGCTCATTGTGCTCACTGGGACAGATTGTACAGTACAGAGAAGGCCAGCCTATGTTTTAACAGGGAAATAAAGTGAAATGCTACATTGTATGTGATCAACACACATATATACAGATACATACATACATGAACACACATCACACATGGACACACATACATGAACATAAACACACACAAAAACACACATTGTATCTATTATCTTATTTTAGAAGATGAGATTCATGCCATGTATATCCATTATGTTGTTGTCTAGGATTTTAAAGATTGTTTAATTATTGAGATTTGATGAATTTCAGGTCCTCTCCTCCTCCCTCTTAATTATTCACAGTGGCCAAAGAGGGTAATTTCCTATATCCCTAGAATATTATCATTATTAATAACAACATGTTCAATACAACGAATTGGACAAGATTCTTAAGGAACTAAGGAAAGGGTAAATATTGGAGATTTGCCTATTAAAACATCATTAAAATGATAATGTGAGATTTTGTACAAATATTATTGTAAGAAGAAGATAAATATTTCTGAATGTTGCACACCTTATATTCAAGTATACAGACACAGTCTGGGTGTTTACTTGAAAATGTGTTAAAGTTTTCATTTTAAATTATGTATATGAATAGTGACGTGCTGGTATGTTGTAGTTTTATTTCACTACAGTATGCCACCAGCTATGTGTTACATATAGCTGTAATTCAGGAAAGTACATAGTATGTCCTTAGTGTCCGTAGGAAGTCACAAAAGTTGTCATCATCTGAGAACCTCTTACCAAGCCAGAGTAGCAGGGACATGCCAGTAATTTGCCTATTTTACTCATTATATTTTAGGAGCTCTTTTTGAAAACTTTCAGACTCAGTTCCTGAGCTAGCATGCCCCAATTCACACACACATTGGTATGCATACACAAACACAACGACACATAGATTCACACACACACACACTCTCTCTCTCTCACAAACATACACACTTTACAATTTGATTAACATTTTTGATGGTTATTTCACAGTGAGTTCCACCCAGCAGTAAAGGGAGAGCAGGACTGAAACCTCTTTCCTGGTGTCTAGTGGTATGTTGTTGGGATCAGTCTCTGTACTAATTGCCAAATTCCCAGCAGCTCTGCATTGATGCCGGGGCTGAGGTGGCATTATTTCCCGGCTCCCGCATCAGTTCATGGCGGTAAGGGAGCTGGGTAATCAGTACAGAGAGTTCCCAGCAGGCCCTTCATTGCCTGCGCAGCATCCATGTACAAAAGTAGGCTAGTAGGTTAAGGTGCAGACAGGTTCCTCCTCCCCCTTAAGCCTACCACAACAACTGGGGATCTATGTTTTGGACATCCCTAATACTTTGAGTGCCATGCTAGATACTCTGAATGTCAAAGTACCAGAACTGCTGCATTTTAATATAGGGATTTTGTGAAAAGATTATGTCCCTTAAACAATGTAAAATATTACCATTTCTAACAAACAGCAATGTTTACATTTGTCTAAGAACACACTGCTTTCAGAAGGATACCTACCAGAGGATTTTCCTCCTAATGACCTTCATTTTTGGACGGTTTTAACTTTTTACATCATCAAACCCAGCATGGAATTCAAGGCTTCTTTATGAGAAGCATTGGATTTCTAGAGCATGGTGATGGCCTCAAGTCTGTCCTATGCTACCAGGACATCTTTAAAATACTGGATTGGAAAACAGTCATCAGAACTGATGATCTCGCTGGAGGAGAAGCAGCAAGGAGACTGTCCCAGCACTAAATTACAGGGTATGTTTTATGACTTGCTTAACCTTTTTTCATCAATAGGCAGCAACAGACTAATCTAAAAGATGAAAAGACAGAAACTAACAATTTCCATCATGCAAAATTAGGAGACACAGAGAGAAATATATATTGTATCTGTCATATTTTCTATTGCTGTGTACAAAATTTGAATGCTGATCCAGATTCAGACTCGAGAGGATAATAGCTCTTACTTTGGATGCCTAGCGACATTTGCTCTAAACAGTGAGTTGTGGTGAGATGGGAAACTACTTGCAAAACATAATCCAATATAGTTTTAGAAAAAAAAAAAAAAATCAGCTGTGTAAAGGGTGTTTGATGACTCTTCGTTTTTTTTAATTAAAGTTTGCCAGTTATCAACTCGCCACAACTTTCTATTTAGTAAGTGGCCTCCTTGATACTTGATGAAATGTGATTAGCCAAAACCCACATTAAAAAAATCCCTTGATTTTCTTTTCTCACGTTACTTTCCTGACTGTTGCAGATGTTTTCTGAAAACTGACAGCATTGCTTAGGATTCTGGACTAATGGATCTCTGATGTGAAATATTCTCATGAATATTTCCAGCAGCATTTTGTAAATCAGCTAGAGTTTGCCAAGGTATCTCTGTGTGCACAGCCAGGCCTGAAACACACACAGCATTATCCCAGCCCCACATGTAAAAGAGGGGGTGCCTGTGCAGTCAGGGTTTGGGCATAGGAGCAGGTGGGGTGTGCAGGACTAGACATCCAGACAGCATATTGAGCTCTTTTCAAAGGGCTTGAGATGTGTAAGGGAAGCTCTCTCTCTTTGCTGCCAGGGGAAGGGGAGGCAGAGTCTGGGTCCTTGGCCAGAAAAGCTCTCTTGAGCTCTTGGCACTGGGGACATAGCTGCAGGGTTGGGGGTTGGGGGGCTGAAGTTTTCAGTGTTCACTAGAAGAGATGTAGGGGGAGGGAGACCCACTAGTTCGTCTCCCCGACTCTGAACTGGCACTACTGGGGAGAAGAGACTGGGTAATGTAACTTATTTCTAATTTCTAGACAAGATTTATTGACATGGTGAGATGCTGTGTTAGATATTGCATATGCAGTGTACTGAGAGGTGGGTGGCAGGACGAGAGATGTTAATGGTTACCTGGAGAGAAAGGAGTAGAGCATATATATGACCTCAGTGTATCCCTTTAACCCTTTAAATCCCGAGCACAGTCATCCTTAGCACTTGGTTGGCCATAAATTGTTTACTAACTCAGCTGCACCTGTCAGATGTACCAGTATTTAAAGTCACATATAGACTGACAGCTGGATCAGATCAACTACTGAGTGCAGTAGTGCCTGAGTTAGGAAAGAATGCTCTGTGTGAATTGATACAATTATTACACGGACTGTGTCATATGTAATAATACACTGCCGGGACATAGATACAGCTACCTCATATATAGGTTGTTAATGTTTAATTTGTTATATTTAATAAATGAGTCAAAAGTCAAACTATTGTTCAGATTTATAGCAATATATATTAAACTATCTTCATACTCTAATAGTTGATATTATATATTATGTTCACACAGTGTCTGACCACAGACAGGTTTATTTGTGTGTGCTCTGCTTGTGTACAGCTGACCTAGTTTTTTTTTTCAAGTTGGGATAGATATAAATACTGAAGATTCTGAGTCTGACTTGCATGTTCTTAAAAGAAGCCAGCCATCTAGAAACCAATGAGAGTCTGGGCAGGAATCGGTTAAATTACTGATATAGTAAATTACTCCCTCATTATCCAGCACACAGGCAGGGGTAGATGGTTTTGCCTCTGGTAAAGTTTGTAAAAGTAGTGGTGTTGGAAAAATCTGATCTTGGCTGTCAGCCACTGACTTGTTACTGTGTGTTACAACATCGTCTGGAAACACTGCATCTGAACTATGTGTTATGTTCTAGATGGCTAAATTGATTGTGTTCTTGGGTCATTTCCACATAAACAAGTCTATTGCATCAAATCTAAGTGAATGCCAAAACGAAAGGTGTTTTGCAGAATGTAATGCGGGAGCTTCTGTAGACTTTATCTGCCAAGGATCCCAAACTGCTAAACGTTAAACCTGCTAGGTGCGTGAAATACGTCATCAGAGACGTCCACAGATACATAGACACCTACACACATCTAGATATATCCACGAACATCTATAGACATCCACAGACATCTACAGATATCCACATATATCCACAGACATCTACATATATCCACAGACATATACAGACATCCACATACATCTACAGACATCCACATATATCCACAGACATCTACAGACATCAGATATTCACAGACATCTACAGATGACATCTATGGATATTCACAGAAATCTACAGACACCCACAGACATCTACAGACACCACAGACATCCACAGATATCCACAGGCATCTACAGATATCTACAGACATCTACATATATCCTCAGACATCCACATAAATCTACAGACATCTACATATATTAACAGACATCTACAGATATCCACATGCATCTGCAGACATCCACAGACTTCTACAGACATCCACAGACATCTAAGGATAATCACATAAATCTACAGACACCTACAGATATCCACATACATCCTCAGACATCCACATACATCTACATATATCCACAGACATCCACATACATCGACAGACATCCACATATATCCACAGACATCTACAGACATTAGATATTCACAGACATCTACAGATGACATATATGGATATTCACAGAAATCTACAGACACCAACAGGCATCTACAGACACCCACAGACATCTACAGATATCCACAGACATCTGCAGATATCTACAGACATCTACAGACATACAAATGCATCTGCAGACATTCACATGCATCTACAGGCATCCACAGACTTCTACAGACATCCACAGACATCTATGGATAATTACAGACATCTACAGATATCCATAGACATCTACAGACACCCACATATGTCCACAGACATCTATGGATATTCACAGAAATCTACAGATATATACAGACACCCACATACATCCACAGGTATCCATGGATGTCCACACTGCTCTGCACACACCAACACACAGATCTTGAGAGACATCTACAGACAGTTCCAAACATCTACAGATATCCACACACATCTACACATATCGAAAGGCACATACACGCTTCTAGAGAAACCATAGACAATCACAGACATCTACAGACGCCTTCAAGCATCCATATTCATGTGCAGACTACTAACTGACCTTCCCATACGTCTAAAGACACCCACATTTCACCATACCTGTAGATCATAGACATCCACTGACATCTTCAGGCATCCACAGGTTTCTATATAAACATTCATTTACAGGCATCTTTTCATAGTTGTAGTCTTCTACTTACACGCACACATGCATAATATCCGAAAATATCTACTTGTTCAAAATTTAAATGATGTGAAATAATAACGATCTTTACCCAGGTCTTTACCCAGTTTTCTGTAATATGGGTGATGACAACATAAACCACGTGACTGGAAAATGGTCTGTTAGAGAGGAATGATCAGTTAGAATTTACTAAATGTCTTGTCGCCATTCGATATAATTTGTATGTCACGTTAAACCGGTTGAAGGATCTATAAGTTAAATTATGCTGGATATCTCACCACACTGTAAATAGTATTCACTCTGATTATTGATTAACAAAGACAATATTGCTTTTGTATTGGCTTTTACTAAACGAGAATACATTAATTTAATTATATATCTATGGAAACAGTAAACAGTCGAGTTTACAAATACTGTGTGCTCTTATGTGTATAATTATATATACAACATACACTAAATCCAATTAAAATGGTATATACATTACATTTTCTCAGTGCAAGAAACATTATTTAGTGTGAGCCGAATGATGTCTAAATGGTTCGTGCCCCAGTTTATGTGCATTTTATTCTTGTGCTAAATTGTTGTAAGTGACAATGTATGTAATATCACAGCATCCAGTTCTGGTTATTACACCAGATAAGGTAATACATCAACCCCCCTAGCAATATATTAGCAGATACAACTTTACACCTTTGAATACTCACCTTAAATACATTTTAGAAAACTGATTGTCAGCAAATCACCAGGAATTCATGGCTGAAATTCACATCTATTTTGAGTTTAGAATCGGTTATTATATATAACATATATTGAGAAAACACAGAACAGAACTAATCATTTACATTATAGTTCCCAAAAGCTGCACTTTTAAACCCCATGTCATCTACAGTAATCAGAGCAGCTTCTAATACAAAAGTGAATAATAACAACAACAATAATAATAATAATGTAATGAGTATTTAATTTAGATTAAACACTCGCTCCAATTACGACATATCCACATTTTATCCATGGAAGTATTAGAGATATAAAAAATATAAACTTGGAAAATCTTCAGGAAAATTTTATTTTTTCAACAGACATCAGCTTGTTAATTGAGAAATAAAAAATATGTGTGTGTATATATATATATATATATATATAGTCACTATGTGTAAATCAATTTTAATTTTTCTTTCAGAATCCTGACCAGCACCTTCCAAATATTAGAATACTGCAATGATAGAATAATAAAATATAGGAATGAAAGAAATTTCAGCCATTAGAACACTAGAATATTAGAACACTAAAAAAAAAAAAAAAATTTCAATAAATAAACATTCCAACAGAATATTAATGGAATAAATAGAATGGAATAAATAGAATATGATACTACTAGAATATCAGAATAGAAAAAACCAAAACATAAAAACCTAAAAGCGAGGAGGTTCAGTTTGTGCATTTGAGTCTGTAACCCCATCCCGCAGGTGAACATTATAAGATGTGCTGATTCTTATCGTGACAGGTGTCGATTGTTGTTACCATAACCATCCTGAATAATGGTGTGTGGTAAAAGGAGAACACGCCATGGCTGTGAAAGCGCTATAGCAAGCAATGGCTGTGTGTTGTATTATGTGTCAATGTTCTATTATTCGCTTATGTTATATTTCTGTTATATTATGAGGTTACAATATGAGGCAGGATATATTTTAACTCACTGTCACTACAACAGGAAATGGCATTGGGTGTGCACTACAAATAGAGCTCAGTACACACTTCCCTTTACATCTCCCACAGTAACAATTACATTATACACATATTGAATTGTAACAATTATACAGCATGGGACATACATGTATACATAGACTGGAGGAAATATACATGTGTGTGTGTATGTATAGGGAGAGATAAAGATATACATGTATAGATTCATATATATATATATATATATATATATATATATATATATACTTATATATATATATATACTTTTATTATTATTATATATATATATATATATATAAACTCGCTATACTTATATATTTTTATCTCTCTCTATACATACACACACACACACACAAACTCTTTCTCTATTTATATTTACACTAATTTATATATACATATGTATTAATGTATGTGTATGTACCTATCTTTATGTTTAAATAAGTCCTATATGTTTAAAAAAGTAAAAATACACAGAAGTCAAGAGTTATATTTATGTGAAAACTATTTGATATTCCTGCACAGTATATCATTGTATGTAATCTATTCAGAGATGACCTGGTTGTGTATATATCTGTATATGGTATCATGATGTATATCTGCTATACTCTGTATATCTGAAGGCTGTATTTCCTCCACTTAGATCACTGTTATCATACAATTCAGGTTAGGGTCTGCCCACAGTGATCACTATAAGGACTATGCACTATATACCACCAGCTAAATTAAAGACAAAACATTTAACCTGAAAAATGCCTAGAGGCTATTTGTGAACCCATCTCCCTTGTCGGAAGATTTCTAGTAGAATCATTAGCTCTCGCTGTTTAGTGAATAGAACCCTATATTTCTTGTATCCTATAACGTGACTATCGTTGTTTTGCGAATTAAAAGGAATGTTAACTATGTATACATATACAATCCTTAAATAATCAAAATAACATCATTCTTATTTTCCCGATTGTTTCTATTTACAATTTTACACCATGAATCACAATACTACAATATACTGTATGGATCGAATTATTTAGGTTAATAAAGTACTCTCATAATAAATCATAGCTCAGTTCTCACAGTAATTTGACCTTTATTATTTCGATAAACTAAAACTAAAAAACATGGAACGAAATCTTTACAATTTGTTACTATTTAGAGTTCAAGGTCAATACAGATGCTATATTTAATATCTGCACATGCAATATAAAAGTATAAAACAAAACAAAAGACCTGTCTTCAGATAAAAATACATGTTATGTTAATATGTTAAAGTAAAGTGGATGAGAACTCAGACTGGTTATTTATTGTAGTATAAATGTTCAATATTTGAAGAATATTAAATATTTAGCAACTGGGATATATTATGAGAGAGACTGAGAATAAAGCACACTATACTTTATATATAGTACACAAATAAGGTATCAATGAAAAAACAATTGTATACAATATATATATATATATATATATATATATATATATATAGAATAAATATGTATATTTATATATTATAGTAAACATGAAGCTGTCATTGTGAGTCCAGAATTGCCCCAATATTTTCATTAATACAATGTTCAAATAATGCAGAAAAATGTATTATATTCGCTGCTGATATTGAGCACTGTGCACACAAGCTGTACTATTTCCTAAAGTGACAATTCCAATTAAAGTCAAATTGAATCTCAAATTTAAGGCTAGAGTAGCCGAATTGACAGCTTAACCGACAGAGAATTTTTCCAGTTCGGCTTTTTAGACCTTAATCTTGAAATGTAATTTTAATCCACACTTTAGTTAATACTTGGAATATTATTGTATAATTCACTGTGGATATATAGCTATGCAGCTAAGGGATTTATTAACTAAACAGTGATCTGATCATTTAGGTTAAACTAGCTAATCTGGGGATATCGGGTTATTGTATATATATATATATTTTTTTTTTTAGAAAACTCAGTTATTTTGGGATACAATTTACCAGTCGTGTGGTACACTTCTACAAATCATTTTGTATTATTTAAACCTTTCAATATGTGCTTCTCCTATCCAAAATCTCCTTTACTAATTAATGTCTAATGTTCATCAAAGCTGGATCCAGCAATCCATAAATCCACACCTGCTATAATCCACACTATTTAATCCAAGAGGCATTAGGTAGAAATCAAACATAGGTATTTTGATATCCTAGAATTTATCCAAATTTTTAGACCACTATGGCACTATTGGAAATTTTGTTATTGGAAATGAAACTGATTAAAATAAGAAACAACTCTTTTCAGTTTAAAATCAGAATATTTCTAGATGGGTTATAGCTAAAATAGTAAAATAAAAAATATAAGCAGGTTTAGATGTAATCTGTGGGTAAAGGGTTTATGTAGAAGATGATGCATTTGCTTGGCTCCAGCAGTGAAGGGGTTTACAGCAATCAGGATCCCCTTGGGAATGTGGGGCTGAGTGAGAGCTGCACCCACATTGTGCCCCTGGGAGACAGTTCACCACACTGATTGCAGCAGAGAGGGTTTAGGAGCAGAGCCAGATATAGGACAGCTGCATCCCAAGTCTTTAATTCCTTTCTCAGGACAAAAAAAGCCATTGCCACCTGCTGTCAGATACTGAGAGTTGCCAGTGCATGCACAGTCTCTTTGAAAGCACCCAGCAGAAGCAAAATATTGGGTTTGCTCAAGCAGGGCAAACAATGGGAAATTATCAGAATGTTTTCCACAATAACACAAAAAAAAAAAAAAAGAAAAAAGAAAATTAAACAGGAATATATGTTCTCTGTTTGATGTCAGTCAGGGCATAAAGTAATAATGAAATGAACAATCTCTGCCTAGCAGACTAAAAAAGAGGTTTTAAAATGACTGTCCATGTTTGCAGACCCATATACCTTGCATATATGCACATTGTTGCTCATTAGCATCTACTATTAAGAAATGCGACCGGGGGTTAGTTCACTAAACAGCGACTTAAAAATATATCGTTTTTAATTAGAATAGAGAAAGTTGGAAAGCTCCTTGATCCTGCAGAGTTTGGGTTGTGCCTATTTAACCCTATACCGTGCAAATCTGCTCTGAACTCACTGTTTAGGAAGGAAAAATACATTCTTTCTTGAGACATTGTCAATACAAAGCTATTCGTTGTCACTGGCTGTGTGATGGTTGTACATTGCGTAACTGCTAAATACTGTGTCTGTGTTACCCAAAAATAATATTGGTGTTTCTGTGATTTTGCAACTTGCAAAATGTTTCCATATTCCTTGTAATTTGCCCAGCACCCCAGGAATCATTAAACTGGTCGTGTATTTTGTGTATAAAGAGAGAGAATGATTTATAGCATGTGTGTTTTTATGGAAAAAGGAAAAAAACTGCAATTTGTAGTGAAAGCATTTTTATTTCTTTATGGGAAATACCCCAGTGATGAAAATGCTTAATAAATAAGTTAACACTACATATGTGCAGAGTTCCAGAGACCCTCAGAACATTTCTGAGGGTTTTCTATAGAAACTGTGTTTTGCAGAAATGGATTGGACTGGCTGAATCCATTTTATTTTAGCAGTTTGGATTTTAGAGTATATGCCTCACTGAATAGTAATATTATTATTCGGAGTATTTGAACCAGAGTTTCTTTTTGTGATAATAATGCACATGTCAAACCAATAGGAAAATATAGCTGCATGTAACTCATATATACAGCAGACATAGGGAATTCTAGAAATTAAAAATAATAATAATAATATTTAGTGAAGTTGTAATTTATTTAGAGGGAGAGAAAGAGAGAGATTTGAAGAGACAGGTAAATAGACCCCAAATGTTTGAAATATTTGATTTAGTTAATCTCCCTTGATTTAGAGTGATTTGATATATGCACTGATGCATATCTGACTGATTGCATGAGTATTTTAAAATATACACCATTGACCAAGCTATCAAAAAGACATTGGATGGGATGCTGCATGATCACTGTAGGATTTAAAATTTGGGGAAAATTGTGCCTTGTTGAACAAAACGCATTAGGCTATTTTCCTGGGATATGCTTCCTTAGGGTTTTGCACTGCAATGTCCCAACATTTATTTTGTTCTTAGACTATCTCAATAAAATGTACGTTTTATTTTAACATGGACTGCATTTATTTTATACATGGTTCTCTGGGGTCTGTAAAATATAGGCCGAGAAAGCCAAAGGTGAAAATGGGTAAAATGGTGATTATTTTTAATTCTCTTTCAATTTACCAAAATGTATTGTTTATTTCATAATCATCTGTATGATATTACTTGCACCATACTCACTAAATTAAATACTCATTTAATTTAGTTAATTGACATCACATTATTAAAGTAATGCAGGTTACAGGTTACACTATCTATCTATCTATCTATCTATCTATCTACTATCCTTGTGCAATAGGCATTAGGCATTCAAAATGCTTTATTTTTTTTTAAATTAATTTACTATGAAGGATTCTAGATTTCTAAAAAAGTAATATATTGTAATAAGTGACCAAGGCTAAATAATACAATTATTATTATTATCATCATTAATTCTAGCATTAATATTATTCAATAGCTCTAAAAATCAAAGCAGCACTGCATGCCACATTGACTGGTTTTCGATATACAAAACTTTTGTTTTACTTTTAACCAAAAGCAAAACCCGTTACACCATTTCACGTTTTTAGGATGCCATAGATCCATGTATATAAAAAGGTGATTAAAATAGAAGTAGTTCTGTCCATTGGTCTCACGATTTAATATGGATTTGTAATTATAAACTTTGTGCTTAAAGATTAAAAGGACACTTAGTTTGTATTTAATTGACTGCAAAAATGTTAATTGGTTAATAATAATAGTAATAAACAAAATTGTAAAATGAAATCTAATAATTTATGTTCATTGATACAGCAAATTAATAGTAACACTGGAATGCAAATTTTAAAAAGTGCTTTTATAATTTATTCATGAAGAGTTTGTACTGTCTGCAGCACTGACAATCCAGAACGATACTAAGGGTGTGTAAATAATTTGCTGCTTTATAGGTTGGAGAATATAATAATTGCATACAATTTAGGGCGCAATTCCTTAGGTGTAGATGAATGGCCTAATGCTTATTATTATTGTATTAGTAACAGGCTCATCATTTGAAATGACAGGTGGGAGGAATAAGCTCTTGGCTAAAGACTTCAAGTGCTGAGACAAGCTCAATTCACTGGCAAACAGAGCAGACACCCTGCAGTGAAGGAGTTAATTTCATCAGAATTGGTGCAAGGAGCCATTTGGTCCCTCCCCACACCAGATGATGCCCACCTTTCATTTCAGCCAGGTGTGAGTGTGCAGGGGTTTTGATATGTCTCATTAGCAATCATTTTTATTACACGGGCCTAGAACAAAAGTACAATCTGCAGCACTAAAGCAATCCTTAATTCAGCCTCTACCAAAATCTTTACCCAAATCCCTTGTTCTAAGAAATGCCCTCAAATCTCTGTGCAGTTTTGGTTAGGTCTATCTGTGTCAGGGCTAGCAGATCATTGAGCTGGAGCTACCAGCAGAGCTCCAAATTACACCATAGCCTGAAAGACATGGGAACAGCCAGGGGCAGATTTCCCACAAGACAATGTAAGCAGGTGCCTATGGCATCTGGCAGCCAAACCCACTACTTTGTATGAAAAAAAAAGATTCATGTTCTGTGGATTTACATAGATCCACAGACATAAAATCTTAGTTTGCGGATCATCTGAAGCCAGCATGCGACACTGTACTCCTTGAGGCACGATGTTATTTTCTGTGATTAAGAGCAGACATTCTGATTTTGGACTCTTTTAGATTTTCATAATGTAATACAATACATAATTAAAAGAGACCAGTCTGTATCACTATGCAATATACAAAGTATGATTCTGATGACCTACTGTAACTTTTGTTTTCATGGACTGGACTGCAACACACTTGGACAGGGTTTTAGCTATGGTTATGGGTGAAGAAATGCACCATAAACCCCTGGGTCTATCCACTGCACATCGGGGCCATGGTTAGTGGTCCCCAATACTTGCTAATAAGCAGGAGAGAGCTGTAGGTCATCTTCTCTATCCACATCCTTTTTGAAAGCATTATATGTTAATAAACCTTGTGTTACTTTCTACTCAATCCCCTTAACAATGGTTTGGAGACTGGAGGTTCCCATTTCCATGGACCACAGTAGTGCCGAATGGACCAAATGGTTCTCAATTTTACTTTTCTCTTTGTAAAAAAGCCTTAATGGATGCTAAATATTCGGTACTGACCTTTACCTAGAATAAAACCATACAAAACAAAAAGACTATAAAACTATAAAATATACTTCTATACTTAAGTGCTTACATTAATCTGGACTTGCCAAACAATGTTTTCTATACTATTATCATTGTTATAGCTTGAATAATTGGTTGCCTTTTCTCAGGAAGTCATATTATTTGAAGTATTTGCTAATGATTTTAGTTCGAATGAATGGAGACATGCCAATGCCTGCACCCACTAGCTATTCACATGGATGTGTCGGTGATTATGAAAATGATATAAAACTTCACTGGTGTGTTTTTAGAATTTTTTCTGTTGTTCAGTATTTTAGAGTTGTATCAGAACTTCATAACTAGCATATTATTAATATGCATTAGTAGCAAATAAAGAAATCCTTGACCCACTCAATCAATTTCATCATTCAGCAAAGGAACAAGGGCACAGTAACAGGCCCATCCCAGCCCACCTCCACCACATGTTCGAAAACAATGTGTAAGGAATTCATGTACCAACTATGACACCAGAAGAGTAAAGGCCTAGTAGTAAGTAAAGCATGTGATTAACCTTGTAGCATATCAATTCTACATACTGTGGCAGTATTTGTCAGTGCTCAACATGATAACATCATGTGTGTCAAGTAAAACATGGTGGCTATTGCAGGCCTAAGGGAATGTCCTAACATTACTTAGAAAATATCAACACTTTTCATCAACTGAAAAACAGGTGCTATACTAAATCAAAGGGCTAAAATAAGGATAAGTTACCATGGAAACCAAAAGAATGTCTCGCAACATTTTTAGCCCCATTGATTAATTAACAAATATCCAGATTACCCTGCTTCCACCTTGCTACTCTTAATTATTTCTTCTTCTTTTTCTTTTTTTTTTTTTAAATATTTCTTGGTTGTTCAAGTCCAGAGATTGCATATCTAGTTCATCAGAATTTAGCCAATTCAATATAAGTTGGTTGCAGTAAATGAATGTGCAACCCACAGGCTTACAAATATATCCATTTGGGCTGGTGCAACAAAGACTAACATTTAACCATGTTCATTACCAATCTCAAGCACAATGAGGACTAGAAGGATGCAGTCTTATAACAGCCCTATAGAAAAATTAATGGAATGGGTATTTATTCCCTAAACAGTGATTTGTGATGAGAAACTGACCTGCAAAATCCCTCTAAAATATCAGAGAATTAATCTTCTGGAATTGGCTATTTTTGCCTAAAGGTGGCAAAGCAATTCTTAACATCCCATCGTTCACTTTATATCCAGATACAGTTAATATTCATACCTATAAAGAAGTGTTATAAAATAATCCGACTTAGTTTTTATTCAGTAAAGGCTTAGACGGCACTTCTAGATCCATGACGATAGCAACGTCTGCTAAGTATCCTGGTAATTGTTCTAAATCTGTTTTGGTGAAATGAATGGCGGGGACAATTACCTGTGAATTTTTCTATAAAATATCCAGCAATGAATACAAAACATGTGCTGAAATGGAGATTTTAATAGAGGTTTGAAGATGTTTTATTGTACATCTTAGAAAGTCATTTATTCAATATATTAGTAAACCTGAAATTCTGAGGGTTATTTTATGACAAGAAAATTGGTAGTGAAGGGGTTCAAGGACTTGAGTCATTTAACTGAATGTCTACACAATGTTTTGCTGTCATTATTATTTTTATTATTATAAGCATTTATATAGCACCAACATTTTCCGCAGTGCTTTAAAACTATTGAATGAATGGCATACAAAGCACAGGCATTGCTGGTCTATGGGGCTGAAGCCACGCATGTAGGGTTCCTTTGCCCCGGATCTCAGATCTCAGATGTTGGATGGGGCAGGAGTATTTTACTGTTTATTCACTGTTTACTTTTAATTTTACATTTGGCAGTTTAGAAGAAAACCTTGCCGCAAACCCATTTATTAGTTATGTAACATAGTAGTATCACTCTGAATAATACTTGGCTACGCATGGCATTATCTACTTGTTTCCAGCTTTCACTGAGATCCCAGAGACCACCATCAGCATGCTATTCATGGGTAGAGAGAAGGTAACATTGCGTAAAAATACAGGGATATGTCACAACAAATCTCCACCTCTCGGTTAGTGTTGGGGTCTTCCAGTTTCTCTTTGGGCTTAAGCCCCAGGTGTTTCTGGAACTAATCTCCACTCCTGGTACAAAATAATATTGACAGGGACAAGAGGTGAAGAAGATCCTGTTCAAATTAACTTTTCTTTTTTATTTCTTTTTTATTTATTCAGTGGCTATAATATCATGCCCAGCGCAGTCTCCTAGCAATCTCTGGACACTGAAATCTATGTATAAGCACTTCATAGAACCTATGTGCAAGTGCAGCACAGAATAGGGCTGGCCAGAGTGGCTGACAGTCATACCGACATGCATGCACACCAGAAAGACACACCGTCTTTTCGTGGGCCATGTGACTTCAGTCCCTAATTGCTACTGTCCTTCTGGCTTGCTCACCACCTGTCCTTTATCCATACCTCAGAATAATGGGAGGCAAATCCAATCAGTTTTATTTGCATTTAAGTACATATCTGTGTTGCCAGAGAACATGTTTTAAAATAGGGCTTTATGTTTCTTTTTTTTTTTCTATTTCTTTCTTTCTTTCCTCTCCCTTTCTCTCTCTACACACACACGTACGCACGCATGCACACAAGCAAGCACGCACGCACGCACGCACACACGAACGCACGCATGCACACACACACACACTGTGTGTATATTTGATTTTTAAGAATGAGAAGAATAAAACATTCAGTTAATAAATTATAAAAGTTATAAAAGCGGAGAAAATAAACACACATGCCCTTTATTTAGAGTTCAAGAATATTTCTTGTATTTCTTAACAGCCTTTCTTGAGGAATCTTTAACAGTGTTTAGGTAGTGTGTCATGTAAATACCATTCTTGGCGTTTATTAGGTGGCAGTATTTAGAGCATTTGTTAGGCAAGTTCTTACACCATTGCAGACAATAAGCAATGTAGCTGTTTGGAGATTAAAGATGTGTGAGTACAGTATAACACTTAGCAGAAAGATGTATCCCATCAAGTCCCACATTCTCAGTAGTCTTCTATGCTAACATAATGTGTCAATTGTTTCTTACAGAAACATCTGAATGATGTTTAGAAGCATGCCACATAGTGTGGACATTTTTTTTTCTCTTAGAAAGAGTTAGGAGATCTAAATATTCTACTGTACAGCAGAAAGAGTCAACAACAAACTGTCACAGCGTTCAAGACGCTCTGGGAAGACAAAATAGTGATGTGGCTCCCAGAACAGTTACAAGTTGTTGTTTCCTCTTCATATTTTAAAATGAAAACTCCAAAAATACTAGTATTTACTAATAGAAATAAAGCCAATTTTGTCTTTTCCAACCAATAATATTGTTACTTTAATTCACAGGCCTACTACTGTACACTTTCTGCCAGTTTATCTTCGGAGGACTACAAATGTAGTGTATGCTTTCATTAGAAAATAAAAAACAAGAACACACAAATAAACAGGAAACCAAGATTATTCTTTGGTATAACATAACGCCTGGAATGTTCTGCTAAGATAATATTTTTTAATGTTAATATCCTTTCAAATTTGATATGCTTTATGCGATGTTTTATGTATTTAATATTAACAATGTTTATTCCAAACTGAGTTTATTTATTGATTGATAGGCTAATTTGTAATTAGAATTATGGATATCCTGTAGGATTCTTTTCACCATTCCTATTCTCAGAGAGTGAGCCTATAGGCTTCTTAAAGTATATGCAGTCACACTCCCTAAAATCAAGTCAAAAGCCCTATTTTTTTTTCTACTTAATTTCACTGAGAATTTTCATGATCAGGTAGTTTAATCTGAATGCTAAGAGAAAAAAAAAAATCACAATTTGCATGTGTATTTCTGTTTGCCACAGTGATTGTTTCACTTTTAGAACGTTTATTATTCTGTATCCATTGCTAAGTGTGAAATGATATATAGGGAGAGATATGCTCTTTTTGGAATGTTCATAAATACTTTGTGCATATTTACATTTTATGCTGTAATATCTTTAATCCACATGTAATTCTAATCATAGCTATTCAACATTTGGGGTCATAAGAAAAAAATATCTAATTTTTTTTCCCCATGAAAATTTTACAAAATAATAACAAACTCTGGTTATTTTTGTTTGTCTATCATCACATCTTACAATGTAGGTTTGTTTCTTTTTTATGGTTGTTAGGAATCATATGAAATAAAAAAATCAGTTACAACTAAGCTTGTCAAGATTGTTTGAATCAGAATTCACTATAGCTGAGCTGTGAGCTAAACAAATACTATAGTGTCATCAACTTTGTTTGTCCCTCGTTATGTAGGTTTTGTAAGGAGTATAGAATAGAGAATTGGTGATGCGGAATTAATGATATAATAGAATAGAAAGTGAACTAAGCAAAAGCACACTATAACAAACACAATTCAGTAAACACCAGAAACCAATAAAGAACACATACAACAATTACTTGAAGCATATGATAAATATAGTGGGCTATTGATAGATCAATAAAGATAGCCGCTCGACTTAAATATCTTATCTCGTGTTCAATTTATTTCCATTTCTTAGAGAGAGATAACATATTGGCTTTATTGATTCATTAATATAATTCTAAGTGGTCAGTGAGCGCTCCAAGGGGTAGGAGAACTTGCTACTGAGATTGGTTGGAGATTTGACCAATTCGAAAATAATGAAAACTTAAACCTCTAAGGAGGACTTTGTGAAATGCTTTCCCAATTATTTTCCCTTTTGCAATGTGCCTAATCTAATTTAGATCAGTGTTAACAAGCTAAGTAAACTAAAGTAGAATAGGCACATTGCAAGACTGATAACATTTTTGCCATAGATTTTATATTGTTCATGTGACAATGATTCAGAAGTAGACTATTTAGCAATCATAACTTAATATCCTGTCATACTATACCAGTCTCATCAACCCACTAGCCATACGTTTAAAAACAAAGCATGCTACCTTTAAGAGACCAGCCCTGTTTATGTTTAATGTATATTTGCACCAGTTCAACTGAGTGCTTCTCTTCATTGGGAAAGAATATAAAAACAGTCTTGTTATTATGCATATGTATGTTATGCCTGCATTGTGTAAAGCTGCAATGTTACGTTGTTACTTGAGCAATTGACATTAATAAAATAATTTTATATATTTACAAAAACAAAGCAAGTAATTTATACTGAATTTTAATCTGTCAGTCCCCATTTCCCATACTTGTGGTCTTCCCTATACATTTTTTTTAGTACATTCGGGATGCCAACCTTTTTGATGAAGTATCAGTTATATATATGCCGTATTTCGACATGTAAGTCTATGGCAACCCAAGGACATTGTCACGGCAGGAAGTAAAACAATATAGTTAATATAGTGTTTGTTTGTGGAATGTATTAAGGTGTAAATAGGTTTGGATTATTAAAAAAGAAGGTATTGTTATCATATTACCTCCATGAGTTACTCAGAAGATTTCACATTTGTTCCTTTCTAAAGTGTTTATTTATTCTGTATTTTTGAAACTGATGAACATGATTTGTTTATGCTACGGCTTAAGATGAGTTGTGTAATGATAATTGCATAGTCAATGTATGAAGCATTTTATGGATTCGAATGTACGATAACTGAAAAGGTCAGCCAAATTTGGTGAGTTACAAAGACTCTGCCAAATCGGTATGACAAACACGTTTGTAGTAATCCTGCTTCATCCTATGGTTTTAATTATCTAAAAATGATGAATATTGTATGTGTCACACATGCCACTGAGGGTTTGGACAGCAGCAATGGTATACAATTCTGAGGACTAGATGCAGTGGGAGAACAGTGACTATGTACACTCCTGTCCTGGTGAGAAGCAGCTTTAAATATTAGGGGAAAACTGATTAATGAAAAACAGATCATGTCTAATAGTTTCCATGGTGATTGCCCCCTGTTTACCCTAAAACAGCACAGTTTTTTGCCTTATTAAATATGATATAAGAACACTAATGGCAGTAAGGGCACCATCAGTCTATTCATGTGTTAAAATCTCTTATTACCAAGTCATTCTAATTGGCAAGAAAATTGCATACATTTAATTTGAAACATTGGATGCATAGCTCGCACAAGGAGAACACAGCTATCCATGTACCATATATATTAATTTTCAGAGATACTTAAAAACTAAAGTTTTGTATTATTAATTCAACTTTAATGGAAATTTTAATGGGACAATACATGTTACAGTTTTTTGTCACTTACAGTTATTATGGCAAAATAGGTAAATTGAATCACTGTTTTTGTGTATTTGCAAAGAAAATGATGGCGTTTTGCAAATTCAAAGAAAGACAGCAGAATATGAAAGTAATGTTTCAAAGTGGTGCCAAAATACGGTAAATACACATATGACAAGCTTCTCTTCTTTACAGTGTGTTATAGGCCGCCATTGCAATGTGACAAACTCTTTTAGTGCGCTGTTTGTGTAGAACCCTCCCTTCCCTCTACCATTTCCCTGGTTGCAAGAAAGTAGCCTTGAAATTTGTTCTACAAACTTTTCAGTTGAGTGTGGATGGAAGGAGGTACAAATTACAGTCTCTCTTCACACATGGATAGGGATAGAATGGAACTCTGCCAGTATGGAGATGACTTATCTAGCTGTAGAAAAAGAAGGTAAGTGGAGTTTTAAAGGATATATTTTGTTTTGCAACTCAACATATATACATTGTTTGAAGGGAAGGTATTTTATATTTTTTCATTAAGATTTGAATTTGTTCATGGGACATTTGGCTGTGGGGGTAGATAGGAACCAATTGGTCATTTACATAATTCATAATTGAATCGTTGGCTTATATTGCTCCTAGTTCAGCTATTTTTCAATGTACGAGCTTGCAATGTGTACCCAAGTAGCATGTCAGTAACACCTTACATGCATACACAACTTATGTGTTAAATCAACATATAATACTTACATGAAACAAGATCAGAGTTGCGTTTTGCTTTGAGGACACACAAAGTACAGCCTGTCATTAAGGAGTGTATTTCAGGATTTGCATATGAAATGTGTTAGAAACCGGTTAAGACCTAAAGCAGAAAATTGGTCGGACAGCAAAAAAACATTCCTTTTATTGTCACATAAAATCTTGTCTCTTATTTGTCGATTGAATTAAGCTACTGCATACATTATCCTTATCATGCATTGTAAACTTGTACAAACAAACTGTTTATCCAGCCATGAATGAACTTTTTCTCGTTTCTATAGGAATGACAGGTGTACTAGACAGTCTTGCCAAAGAAATAGTTTTATTAGACGCTTTTGGGAAATGCATGATATTTACATGAAAATTAGTGTTTACTACTTTTTGTCTGATAATGTCACTTTAAATTTTCCTGCCATGCTATCTTTTTAGACATTTTCAGTCTCCAGAGAAAAGATCAATGCTATCCTAAGGCCAACTGGAACATGGTGTGATATCTCAATTTAATACTCACTATCTTTTAACAACAATAACAGTGATATTATGAGGCAGAAGAATGCTTGTTTGTCAGTTTATGTCTTGTTACCTATGGCACCATTAGTTTAAAGAAGATGTAGGGGTAAAAAAGCTGACCACTCATTGGGCTGGTAAAACTTGAGGTACAATAAACAGCCTTGGTGTTGTTGGGAATTCAATGTTTATTTAGCATTTAAGGCTAAAATAGTCCAACTGGATGACTGAGTTTTTCTAGTTTTGTCTTTTTGGCCTGATATCTGAAATCCAAGTTAAATTCCTGACTATTCTTGCTTTAGTGTTGTTACAGATATAAATAAAATATTAAAACATGAGCCATGAAGTAAAAACTAAAAGTAAAAATGAAGGATTTGAGAAATGATCATGGCCTATGGGTCTGAAGTAATTATTGAAGGACCTTGAAGTGACTTGCAGTCTAATGGGACTTAGGTTTAATAGGTAATAGTGCAATGCAACAAAAAGGGCCCATATATGGCCAGTCAGCCATCTGTTTATTACTATAAGGATAGTTTAATAAATTGTTTGCCACATACAGTACTGGTAGTATAGAAAACTGTGAATGGGTTGAAAGAGATAGTGGGAGAACAACTTGTGTGACAAGAGATAAGAGGAGAGAGCTCTGCCAGGAGGGATTAATTGGTTACTTTATATGCTTATTTTAAAAGACTAAAAACTAAGGGAAAGACTACTATCAGCCACAATGAGCAGATAGCAGTTGGGGGCAACCCATCAGTGAAACAAGTTAAGAGTACCCCTTAAACAAACACCCAAAAAAAAAAAATCCAATTCCAATTTGTTTTTTGGTATTACAGCACATTGAGGAAAAATGCAACTTACTCACTAGCAGTGACTTACAAGTGGTACTGTGTTCTTTTGTGTTGCCAGAGGAGAAAAATATAGTTTAATATTAAAAAAAATACCAATTTTTTTTTGAGAACCTGTAGTTACCCTAGAGAGCAAAAAACTCTGTTATCCTACGTGTCCTACTGGATCCATAATATGTCCAAAACAGCTTACACATATAAAGCAATTTAAAAGAAAAGGGAGACTTCTTGATCAAACCTGAAGATAGAACATTATACGTCTGAGAACCCAGAGCTTGAATATATGGTACTCAGCAGCAGGCAGTCACAGTGCACACTCTAATGCCCACATCAACATTCAATAGAAACTGCATAAGTAATAAGGTGGCACTGTGCCTCTGATTTCCCAAATGTTCATTAAAATTACAATTTTTTTTTCTAGTGGCCTAGAAACAATTGTTACTTTCCTAGCAAATGATGCAAAACTAATTCTTGGACAATGGCTTTACCTCTGTTGATATATCCCTTCCCAACTATTTTACTTCTGTTTTTATCAAACAGTTCTGGTTTTAAGCAGCTCAGAAAATGGCCTTATGCACAGAACAAGAACAGAATGCTCATCAAATGCTGCTTACCCTATGTGAAAACAAAACTGAAGATGGCCCGATGGACTCACTTGTATTAATCTACACTATCCTCCCCTGTATACTCATGTTCATTGGCTGCATTAAAAAAGACATGATATTGCCTGAAATCAAATCAAATTTATCTATCAAAATTATTTATAGCTGAATTACACAGTCTACAAGTGTCTCTTGTTAACAGATGAGGTCTCGGGTAGATACAATTAAAAAAATCTATTTGAACAGAAAATAATTCCACATGTACCGTAGTTCACAAGGTTGTACAAGAATTATAAATGATAGTTTGAAAGTATTTATTGTATAGATGAAACCTGGGATATAAATTCATAGATAAAATGTTGTGCCCCTATTTTGTTCAATATTACATTTTGAGATGAACGATTTACTTTACTATAAAATCTTTAAAAAAAATAAAAAACTACAGTCTCCATAAGTTTAGTCTTTTATTATTATGTTTTGTATTTTATTTTATTTCTTAGTATTTATTTTTAATTCATTTCTTCATTTTCATATCCATGTATTGCACATTTCAAATTCAAATGATATCACGGGACAATGTCACTATTCAGAATGCAAGGTTTAACCCCAATATTTCGTATAATATCTTAGGCCCATTTGCAGTTTGTCTTTATATTATTTAAAGTGTTTTTATCACATTTTTTGTTTTAGTATAAATGCTTTTTATACCTTGTTTGTTTTTTAAAAGTGACCTCTTTTATAATTACTATACTCTACTCTTAATCTTGATAAATAGTGATCAGCCAGAAATCGTTATTTAAGTAGTGACAAAATGGGGGTGACCTAACTGCTACAGCTTAAAAAAAAATTGCTATATTTTTTATTATTATTTAAAATAAGAGATTCAATGTATTATAGCTTCTGTATCCATCTGCTCAAGGGAGGCCATGTTTAAGTCCTCATTGCACAGTTTATTATACAAAAATCTAAGCAGGTAATCTAGAACAAATCTTGAGATTGTGCTCTTTTGCCAGGCAATTTAGCAATGCACTCTGCATTGATTTAAGGTTCACTGATATAGCACGGTTAAAGCAGAAAAGTGGCACTTTTGACCTAAGAAACTAAAGATGGCTGCCGCTCAGTTCAAGTGTAAGCCAGGGAATGCACTTAAAAAGGTATTTACTTAAACATATCGATTACAAGATAATACTCAACAAGGATATATTACATTTAAATTACATTTAAAAACAAATAAAATTGTCCTTCATTATAATGTTTACCTGACTTTTAAAAAGATATTGAGTCAGTTATTTACCTTATCGATAATGCATTTTGTAAATATTTTACTACTACTGTTTCTATCACTATCTAGATTTAAAGATTTTAATTTGTCTTTCTCTGTTTATTTTGGTAGTTGACCACTGGCAGCGCACTAGAAATGTATTTTAACAAAAACTGACATGTATGCTTCAAGTTCTGTTTTTGTAGACAGTATCTGGTCATTTTTGTACATGGACATTCAATTTAATAATTCTCAATCCAAATCCATCTTTTTGTGCTCAATTTTGTAAAGGCAATTTGCATGCATCAACCATGTCTTTGGAACAATTTGTTGTCAGTATATTTCTTTTAATCTAAAATAGTTGAATTGCAAAATACATTCAAATTTGCTTACTTGTAGATTTTTTTTCCAATTCAGCTGTCTTGGTGTACATTTTGCAAGTAGGTTACAGCCTGTGAGCCGGTGTTAATTTTGGCGGCAAATTTCAATTTAGTTTTAGTCACAGTCTTTTGACTGAAAAGCCATTTTGGTTTTAGTCATATTCTAGTCATCTGTTTTAGATTTAGTCTAGTTTTAGTCGACTAAATCTCCAGTAGATTTAAGTCGACACAACTAAAATCTAATTGGTTAAGTTAAAGCCTCTGTCTTTTTTTCCGCATCCCAAGCCCCACTGTGTTTCTTTGTGTCCTCCGAGCCCCTCTGGTTGTCTCTCTCCCAAGCCCTGGTCTGTCTCTTTCACAGCCCCTCTGTGCATTGTTACTTTTAGTTTTGTAAGCCATTTTAGTTTTAGTTGTATTTTAGTTATCTGAATTGTTTTAGTTTTAGTAGACTAAAATTTGACTAAAATTTTTAGTCGACAAAATTTACATTGCTGTGAGCATACTCTTTAGATATTACATTAATTGCTTCATAGACTTTATATGGTTCAAAACATAGAAATCTCTTTTTTATATAATACAGCTAAATGTTTCATTATTATCATGTTTCATTTATTATTTTAAAGTAAAAATTTCAATTATTGATATGGAATATACCCCAAGAAAAACCATTATTCTTTAATATATTACTTTGTAAAACATACCTTAAATTCAAAGGTTGAAGATTATTGGTTCATTGTTATCATTTGGTTTACATTTTAACACGAATTGTATCCCATAGTTGTACTGACTGATCTTCACAGAGGTTAAATAGATCATATGTATGTATATCTGATTCAGTCATCTTCCTGTTGAGTATCTTAAAATAAATGCTGTTATTGTAACAAAGACTATAATCAACAGCCATTATGTATTTAACAACTATAGACAAGATAATTTAATCTTAATTTACATAAATTCCAATCTATACTCAATGAGCTAGATTCTATTAGCCAAGTAAGATTGTTCAGTAAACTCGGTTTACTGAACAGCAATTTTCTTGTACAATTCAATGGAGCAATTGCTATTCAGTAGCAGAGTAAACTCTTACATTGCGAAGGGAATCCAGTGCTATATGTTTGAATAATTGGTTTAAATATCAGAAAAAGACATTCCCAGGAATAATTATACCCATGAATCAGCCTCTAGCCATTAAGTCTATTTTTGAGCATTTTTATAGTGTTTATTTAGAAGACTATTCTCAAGTTTCCACAATGTCACATTATTCTGGCATAACGATTTGACCCAATTGAAATGGATCTTTTCACATTCTCAATTTTCAAGTTGTCATGGTCTAGCTAAAAAAATAACAACTGCATAAAAGAACAAGGCTGATGCTAAGGATTCTCTTTTGACTACTGAAGATAGAGAGGGAAAAAGACTAGTGCTTGCACAGCATCAAAAATATTAAGCATACGTTTTCTAGCAATTTTATCATATTTTTTTTTTCAAGGTATTACAAAAAAACAAAAAAAAAACAACTTGATAACAGATTTATGTTGGTCCTTTTTTCCCCATGGTTTTAATTATGATCTATCTCACTTGGTCTTTTATATACAAATACGCCTCTTTAGAATATTATCTGTTAATTCCTATAATGCGATCATAATCCACAGTACTAGGCAGTAAGCGTCTGCTTATATTTGAGAGACATACTAGACATAGTCGATCCTACCAGACTGAAAGGACAATAAACATTTACATGGTTATTTAAAAAAGTGAGAATTTAAAGTGATTCAAGGTATAAATAGTCAAACCGGATATGCCTTTGATGCCATTTAGGCTACATTGGCCTTGAATTTGAAATTCACTTTGAATTCTCACTTTAGTGAATGACCTTGTTAGTCCATGGTAGAAATCGAATGTAAAGTGGTATTGCTAGTATCGGGATTTCAGAGGAAATATCTGATTATGTGGTCTAATACGATAAATGAAGGCGAAAGTTGTGTGAAATGCATTGAATGGAAACGGCATTGTTCTCCCTATTCCTTCCCATCATTTCTCTTTCCTTTCTGCTTTGTTTTAGCTGCGTGATGTGAGAGGTCATTAATTTGTCTGCTCAAGAGAAGAGATCTAGCCCAATAACTCAACAGAGAAGTTTCAGAGAGGAATGTTCGAATGAATCTGATGAGAGCTTTCTACAGTTAAAAACAATTTGCTTTTATTCCACTGATAAAAAGAAATGGATCAAATAAACAGTTGAATAAAATGTACTCACGTCGCAAATGAAGAACCATTTTGTACACAGAAATCAGTTTATTCTATTCATATTTTTATTATTATTCTAAACATAATTAGAATATTACATTTAAAAAAAAGAAAAGGAATCAATTTGGTGGCTAAATGATTTAATCTAATCACATTTTGAAACAAGGGCTTTATTTAAATATCGTGACTCGAAGTCTTATTACCTTTAAGTGTTCTGACATTGTTATTCATATAAACTTGGTTTTGTAATTGTGATTTGTGAGAAAAAACATTAAATAAGTATCAAATGTTATCAATGAAGGTAATCACGTTGCAATTTTTTTGTCGGCACAAAACATATTCTGTGACCGACAAAAAGCATTAATAAATGTGATAATTCCAATGTGAAAATGAAGTAAGAATACATAACAATAAAATCTACTAGATTTATTTTAAGACTTTTAATACCTTTTGTTGAATTTGACTTTGTGATTACAAAACCTGGGGTGCAAATAATAGCGTAAAATTATTTGAAACCTTTTGGTTTACAGGACAGATTTTGGAAATTATATGAAAAGCTCAATAACAAATATTTGCAAAGATTCCCTTATCATATTAACACAATGAATAAGAATAATGAATAAATTATCAAAATATACAGAGTAATAAGGTATATATTTATTACATATTTAAGTGTTGTTGTTATTTTGCAATGTATGTCTTTGTATTAAATAATATTTTTGTTTTGTATTTTTGAATCTTATGAAATCTGGGAATCAAGTGCATAAATACATGCATTTTCAATATTTTTGTAGCATTTTCCTTTTTTTTTACAGTCTTTTGACACAATATTACCTTTGCATTAAAAGAAGCATCTTAGAACTTGCACTTCATATTTTTAATTATATCGGTACGTTTTTATTACATTAATACAAGTGCAATGAACACCTAAATCTGAATTATGTTTAATTGTTATATTAATATTCAGAGGAACACAACAAAACCATGTGAACTGGTAATATTACATTTCACATATTCATTTGAGTAAAATAATAAATGTTGGAATGTATATGCTACAGGATGTGCCAGAAGTTATTTTATAGTTAAGGGTTACATGTGACATTTTTGACTCAGTTTGCCCAGTATTTGGGCCCATAGACTGCATCATGAAAGTGATCTGTACACACTGTACGCATTAGTAAAGATAGATAGAGAGATAGAGAGATGGATAGATAGATAGACAGAGAAATAGATAGATATATATATAGAGAGGGGTATTCTTTGGATATAGCATATATCTCTGTCTGCATATATTCTGTACTGTGGAAAAGCCTTATGGCAGGGGTCCTCAAACTGTTTGAGGAACTACAACTCCCATGATTCTTTGAATTACATAGAAGCTAGAGAATCATGGGAGTTGTAGTTCAGCAACATCTGGGGGGCCGAAGTTTGAGGACCCCTGCCTTATGTTTAAATCTATTTACATTTTCACCTGCAAAACACATCTTTAGAATAAATAAAAGAAACATTAAACATTAAAATTAATTAAATTAATCAAATGTTAAATTCTCTACTGGCGGGGATTATGTTATATTCTCATGGAGAAGTTTCTCTAGTAAACCTTCTATAACATGAAAACTAAAGGCCATTTTGGTCTGTTTGTTTGGTCTGTTGTTTGTTATGATGAAAATAAAAAATTAAAAAATTAAAACAAAACAAAAAAACAAAACAACAATTAGTTGGTTGCCAAGAAGTTAATGGTATCGTCTGAGTTAGTTATAAGTACTTACCGTTTTCCCCAAGACTCCCTTTTGAGGCACAATAGCTATTCCACAAACAGTTTAATATTATGCACAATATGTCATAAATTCTATGATAAGTACATGTTATTCATCATCTTAAAGGAGCAGTCCAAGTACCATAAGCACCTCAGAGCGCTGTAGTTGTAATCGTGGGTTCCACTGGGCACCTCTCAGAGAGTCAGATGTCTCTGTCTGAGGTAAACCTGGCAGTGCAAGGCTTAGCTCATTGGCCAAGAGCGATCAGCTAACGCTCTCAGCCAATGATCTAGTTCTGCACTACAGCGCTTAGCACAGGAAAGATAGTGGAAGTTCCTAAGCAAGAGCCTCTGTCTCTCAGAGCAGCTGAGAGGAGGTGGGTAGCAGTGCTTGGCATAACCCATGTAAGAAGTAAAAATGCTAACTTGTTTTAAAACAATGCGAGGTGCCAGACACTCCTGGTACCATAACCACTAAAGTACTGTAGTGTGGATATAGTGCTTAGAGTGTACCTTTAATGAGGTAGTAATATCAGAAACAGGGCTACTAGTTATGTGATTGGTATGGCTGGCCAACTTTTGCTCCCCATACCACTGACATGCAGCGCTTGTGGGCTGTTGCAACACCAGTCTCCTCCATCTGTCAAATCAAGATATTGCATTGGTTAGGACAATCCAGATGTTTTAGTTTCGTGGGCAAATAATGACAATTTCCTTATACTTGCCTCCCAGACAAAAGTTTACCAGCCCTTCCCTAAGTATAAGAAATACAGTATCTGGAATGGTTGGAGTAAACAAAGAGTGTTTTGGAAACAGCTAGAATGACACAATTTGACATACATTAACATATGTATTGAGATACATTAAAACAAGGTGTTGCATCAGTGTAGCAATTCTCTGTAAATAATAGCCTGAGTAGTTATATATTAAAGTAGTAGTGTACAAGTTATTCCAATTATTCTTGAAGAAGCCAAGCAATCTGGAGACAGAGAAAGCAGCGGAAGACTGGTAAACCCTTCCTTACATGTGATAAAAGTACCCAGAGGAACAGGAAAAAAAATCCAGTGATGTGCTTATTCAACATCTGGCACAGTCATGGGGCACAATAACTCATGCTGTGACTGTGAGAAGTCACACAAAATGGTCTTATGGTGAATGGTGCAGCAAATAAACTATTCTAAAGCAACGGGAACAGACAAAAAAGACTAAAGTGCACAGAAGAGCATAGAGACGAATTTGGTGGCAGAAAGCAGGAAAAAAATAGGCAAAAGTCTAACAATACTTGTCTTTATTTGTCATTATAAGACAAAACAGAGTCAGACTGAAGTAGACTTGTGCATAGTGAGAAAATGCGTTTTGGACAAACCATTATGCACAAAAATCAAAACATTTTCAGGAATTGTGGCCATATGTCAGTTTGGCCTATCAAAATTCCAGTACCAAAACCTGATTAATAAAGAAATCAGAAGAACCAAAAGGGCTTAAAAATGGGCAAAGTGGTGTACTGCAAAATATATACATAATGTAATATTATGTACATATTTTGCAGTATACTAATATGAGCATTTCCTGCCATTTGGTTCACAGATTAAGAGAGAAATAGTAACCAATAGAGGGAAAACAGGAGAAGCAATTAAAAACATTCTATAGCTAAACATTCTATATTTATAAAAGCACCTTTAATATAATTCCAAATCTTCAGTTTGTATGAATCTTCCCAAAATCCTCTTGTTCAATAGACCATCACATGGCCACTGGAGGCACCAGTACGAAAAAGAGGAGGCAACACTTTTGTGCAATAACAAGTATTGAAACAATAATTTATTAACTTACATGCAAAAATTGTAAAATAGCATAAAAAAAGTCAAGAAGAAAGTCCATTAATTAAACATGTTTCGTCCAAATACTTCATAAGGGACTATCAAGTGTTATACCTCCCAATATGTACAGTTTTTATATATGGCCAAAGAGCGACATTTTGTTTTAAGTGGTGTAACCAGGAATGTGAGCAAGTGGCAAGATTATTCTGGAACTTTTTTTTGGTACATCACGACCTACTGATTTATGTCAATCAGCAAATAGGGTTTATCATATTCATTTCGTAACACTTTTACCATGATACCCTTATAGTGAATAAACATTCTAATCTCAATGAAAAGAAGGACACTGACAAGAAAACAGGAACCAGATTATTTGGATCATCAAGGGAAAAGAGTGGGACTTTCCATCCAAAGAAGGATACTGATGATAGATTTGTCATTTTGCAAATGGCAATGTTGCAGTGTGACAACACACGAGAAACTGGACATAGTTTCACAGTAACCATATTACCTGTCTGAGAGTTATGTTCTGTTAAAAAGAGAAAAAGAAACAACGAATATTTCTTCCAATTAAAACCCAACCAAGTGTCATTTGATCTCTTTATTGTTATTATCACCATTGTTAATTTCTGATGCATGCTACTGACAAAGAGCATTGGCCCAAAAATGGGAAGACTTCTGGGATTCACATAACTATTAATTAAAAATACAGCGGAATACAAAAACCTGAAACTTCACTGGAATTAAAAAAAATGGTTCAATATTCATGATTTTAACTAAAACAAAAGCAAAACGAAATTTCGTTATGCTTCAGAAAATAAGCAGCAGATTGTCCAATGTCAGCGTTTTTTTTAGAAATCGTTCATTCTGCTTTTAGTGCATGAACCCATCTCTCTCTCTCCAGATATATATTATAAATACATGCACGCATATTTTTCTCACGGTGCTGGGATGCTATCACTGAGTGATTATGTAATAAATTCTTCGCAGCAGAGCAGAGGGCAGTTGTTTTTGTTTTTGTTATTCAATGAAAGAGAGCTTTGCTTCCCACACAAAGTGCACCTGCATCTCCTACATATACAAGCCGGGTGCTGCCTGCTAATTGATTTTACATACACACATACACACAAACTGCAATGCCCATATGTTCTATTTTATTCTATCCCTGTCCTGCTGTACTTATCCAACCCATATGCTGTATTCCTTTTATTTAGGATTAGCATGCAAACCTTTAAAAGACAACACATATAGAACAAAAATGATTATTCTGCAATAAAGCAAGGTTTGTTCTGGCGTAAGAACAGTGTATCTGTGTTCAGTCTTTAAAAGGAGATATACAATATCGAGCTTTATTTTATTTTGATGAAATACAATCTAAATAGCATATGATTGGTAAAACAGAATAAAAGCACACAAGAAAGTACATTTAGTAGTAAAATCGTGTGTTACAAATGCCTATGCATTACTATATCTTTTTGACATTTCTTCACATCTAAAACTGATGACAAAGTGACACATATTAAATGAACAATATAGTGTTAGGAATACAAATTTGTATTCCCAACACTATCGTGCCTCCATAGTGCCACACTGCCCTCCTGCCACAGCAATAAAAAGGTTGAAAAAAGTTTTAAACTTACTTTTTTCCACCGTCGAGGTCCCGCAACACTGACTCGGTCTCCGCCTCCTCTAACATCATTACAAGGGGGAACCTAATGCTCAAAACCCAGCGAGCCTTGCTCACATTAGACATTAGCATTGCTTTCCTATGGGGATTTTGAAGAAGCTACATGTCCTCTTGCAAAACGCAAGAACATCCAGCGTCATTTCCTCGGTAAAACAGCAGGAAACACCTCTAGTGTCTGTCTGAGGTATAATCTGTGTATGCAGGGTGGCTAATAGAAGCAGGAAGAATTGTAATTGATGTTTGATTGACAGCCAGGGGGTGCTTCAATAATTATTTGAAAAGTACAGATGTCTTATAGAAATCGCCACTTTTATAAACTGTCAATATTATGGGATACTCCTCACTTCAGCAAGCTGAATGAATGGGTCTGGAATCATTCTTTAATAAATGTCCATTGTATTCTGATCTAAACTGACAATTCAGTTTGAAAGTGACTGCCATTTTGTATCCAGTGCATATGTAACAATATCCAATGAATGCTGGAGATGTGTTTAAACCATGGATACATACACACTCAGATACATTTATTGTGAGACCATCTTGAGCTTGCCTCTTATTTTAAAGCAATTCCATCTCTCAGAGGATAATGTTCTCTTAAAAGTACAAAAACTCACTGCTCAGATACTTGATTAATCCAGCTAAGGTTTTATGAATATTATTTTTACAGTTGGAAATATCCCCATAGTTTTGGACCTCTTGCATTAAATAGGGTCAACAATAGAAATCAGAACATCGTCTGCGTATAGACAGATTTTCATTTCAGATTTACCTATAGACATACCTTTTATTTCAGTATTGTTTCTAATGCTGATCGCAAACGGCTCAATTCAAAGAACATATAGAAGAGAGAAGACAGAGGACATCTCTGTCTCGTCCCATTTGTGATCTCAAACCATTCTGTACAAAAATCGTGTACCACTATTATAGCGGTTGGGAAAGTATATAAGGCTCCAATAGCATTCGCTATCCATCCTTCCATCTCACATGATGCCAGGGCTTCCTTCGTGTAGCCCCATCCGACCCTGTCAAAGGCCTTTTCTGCATCCACTGATAGGGTCAGAAGGGGGATCCCCAAGGATTGAGCATGTTCCACAATATCGATCACTCTACGCGAGTTAACACTAGAGTGTCTTACCTGGACAAAACCTATTTGATCTGCATGAATCAAATCAGGAAAGAATGGGGTTAATCTTTGGGCTAGGACTGAAGCATAGATTTTCGTGTCTGTATAGATCAATGAAATTGGTCTGTAGTTCATAATATCTGTTGGAGATTTATTTTGTTTCAAAATGGGTTTTCTATTGGCTCTTAATAATTCTTTTGTTACGTTATCCAGCTAAGGTTTTAATTCTCCCTCACTGGAGGAAGGATCACCTACAATTTATTGGGGTAGGACTCAATAAAGTAGAGAAGATTCCCTCCACAGAATTGATAGTAAATGTTACAGATGGCAAAATGAATAGATTATGGTATTTTTGGTGCAATTTCCTTGTATTGGAAGCATTTCGTTGTATGAGTTTGAGTAATATAAAGTCCCTTTATCTGTCTTTTGAACCGAACAAAGTTAAAAGGAATTCAATATTGAGCATTCATACACATTGATACACAATTAGCCCATCACAATTACTCACACCTAATGCCAGACCTAGTGCCTTGCAATGTACCAGGTCGATAAGCAAGGGTAGAAGAAAACCAACAAAGAAAATCACACTTAACATGTAAAAACCATGGTTATACATAAAATATTCACATACAGGCCATATATGCTGGCTATTTTAAAGAAAGTATAAGAAATCTTGATACAGTGGTTACTACAATCTATAAAAATTACTGACCTTTCAGGCAATAGAAAAAAAATTCACAACTGATCAAAATATGAAAACATTTAGAAATGTTTATTGATAAACTCCCAAACACATTTAAAGGGACATTATAGTTACCAGAACAACTCCAGCTTATTGAATTTGTTCTGGTGAGTAGAATCATCCCCTTCAGGCTTTTTGCAGTAAACACTGTCTTTTCAGAGAAAATACAGTGTTTACATTACAGCCTAGTGATAACTTCACTGGCCACACATCAGATGGCTGCTAGAGGTATTTACTTGGGCAGTCCTGCTTAGTATGCATCCCAACATTCAGTCTCTCCACCCTCTGCATGCAGACACTGAACTTTCCTCATAGAGATATATTGATTCAATTCATCTCTATGAGCAGATGCTGATTGGCCAGGGCTGTGTTTGACTTGTGCTGGCTCTGCCCCTGATCTGCCTCCTTGACAGTCTCAGCCAATCCTATAGGGAATCATTATGATTGGCTCAGGCCACCACTTCTGATGATGTCAGAGGTCACATGCAGTTCAGAGGCAGAGGCAGCAGCTCCAGACTTGAATACAAGTAAGATTTTACTATATTTAGGGAGGCAAGGGACGGCCAAGGGTGCCAGATGGTGGTTTTAACACTATAGGGTCAGAAATGCAAGTTTGTGTTCCTGACCCTATAGTGTTCCTTTATGTAATGGTATTATATAGGAAAACACATTTAGCAAATGTACACTCAAAGATGAAATGAAGGAAACCTGTGTAATGCTATTGTACAAAATACCTAAATTCATTTGCTGAGTAAGTCAGGAGAACTAAGACTTTGTGATGAATAATGGTTACATGTGAATTTAAATAATGTATTTAAAATAACATACAAATGCTGTGTTCCTGTAGGCTACCTCTCAGGTTGTTATGAACCAATAATCTGGCTGTGCTAAAAACTACTTGGTGATATCCCACTTGGGGAAAAACATAGAATTGCTCTAAACTGGAATCTGAAATTACGTTTCCCTGTAAAACACCCATGGTAGATAATTAGTGCTCCCCTGGGTGACTTGTACATCTGCAATGCAAGTTAAATATTCTCCTTCAGTACTTTAACCAGGAAAGAGCTGACATCATCTAAGCTTTCATTCCTACTAGGAGCTGCACCAAGTATTGCACTATTTATTCTGTTTTACATAAGCAGGCAATACTTGTCAAACATTTTATTTAAGTGACCCTCAGATATACAATTCTACAACCCAAACTCCCAGTTACCTTATTTGAATTAGGTCAGAAATTGCCTCTTCTCTGCCTGCAATTTGATGTGTGCTTACTTACTGCAGCTTCCCCTTTGCCCTTCAACCTATACCCCTCTTCTAACAGCTGTAGCCCTCTACTGATACTCCTCTTTGAGGTAAATGGTTCTACCACCAAGACTTGCTGTTCTTGCATTCCATTTTCCTCTGTACCTGTGTCTGCTGAGCCACCATACTTCTAGAAAAAAATGTGTACAAATGCTCTGAAACATCTTCATAAATTACAACAGCACAAAATGTCAATTAAAGCGAAATCTCTTTACAGTATTTATTCAATAAGATTGGGGCAGAGGGGATTTTCTGAATGTGTAAGAGTTATATTCCAGTTGTCATTTTTTTAAGCCTTTCTCAATATTCTTCTCGTTTCAACAAATTTTAACACCATTTTCTTTTGCGTTGTAGTCATCAAGGAGGAACAGAAAACTGATGTTTTTGATGAACCTGATAATTGATTTAATGTATTTTGTTTGTTGAGATCTTATTTGTAAGGAATAGTAGATTTGTTTTTGAGGAAAATCTATTTTTTTTATATATGAAAACAGGCTGACTGTTTCAAAACCTTCAGTTTCCTACAGATTTACAAAAGGATGAACATATCTGCTAAATAAGATATTGCCCAGTGTAACGGCACCCCCAGGCATAAAAGGGGTTAACAGCTGTTTAGGAGATATTCCCTTCCAGATATACAGGCAGCTACTGTAGACACCAATCTACCGAACCGGAGAAGCATACGAATGCTCTCAAACATACGAATGCTGTAAACAGCCGAATAGAAAAAACATACGAATAGGTTTACACTCCTAGCAGTCGAACTGGAACAGCATACAATAAATCCCCCCCAAAAACGAGACAAGGCTCTGTTTTGAGGGTCAAGCAGGAACAGACAGAGCTGTGGGTTTATTGTTCTTATATACACATTCTTACACATTAGTACCACCCACAGGGTTTTGGAAAACAACCAATAAACACATACAATACACACGTACAATACACTCAGACACTCCCACACAAAATCCTCCCCTCTGCCTGTGATACAATTACCTTACACAATGGGTAATGTAATTATCACAGGCAGAGAAATACAGTTTTTCCACATTATTCATAATTTTAAAAGTATGCATCACATTCACATAAAACATTTCCAGAATCAGCATACTACAAATACAAACATATGTCAAAATCATACAAATTGGTCCAGTGGTTCAAAAGATAGATCGTAGTCCTTTGTGACCAAATGAAGCATGGCTTTTCTGCCCAAAACCAGTTCCACAGAGTCTTCTATCCTGGAGATAATTGGGAAGTAATCCAATTATCTCCAAGTACAGAGGCAAAACTCCATTGAACAAATAGCAGCAAAAGACAAAAGAAAATACATAAAAATATATAACTGTGCAGCCATTGCATAAAACAGGTACATTCAACATATCCCCAGATAGCTCAGATCTGAGTGCACATTATTACTGAATGGCGCTCAGATCATACACATACAGTTCAATTGCCATGGAGCCCAAGTCTTTCCCATAGTCTTTCATTATACGAATGGGCTCCATGGCATAGCTATCTGGGGTATCACCGCTCAAACAGGGCAAGCACCGTATGACCCGGCTTTCGTGTCTTCGCAGGGGAAAATCAAGTGTTTCAACACGGGGCCATAGTCTAAAGGCAGCAGGCGGGCAACCAGGCTCCTCCAATGCACAGTGGTGAGATTGGTCTCGTCACACCCAGGTAAATATTTTAGCAATAGTATTGAAATAGAGAATATACTGTCATTTTAAAAGCATAGTGCATATATAGATTTAAAACAAGTTAGTTTTAAAAACAAACAAATATTTATGTTTTGGATCTAAATTTTTATAAAGTCTCCAACAACTCCAAACAAATTATAATTAGCTTAAATTCATTCTACACAAAAGATCACCATGCTAATATAAAATGCTGTATTGAGTAGTTTCTATGTTTCAATGATAATGTTGGTGCATCAACAGAAGCCTCAAATTTTACCATGTATATTGTCCCAATATAGTATGCACAATTCAGATTATTACATAAATATTTCCTCATTGACATCATATACATATATATTAGAATTCGTCTGTGTCTCAGAAATCTCAAGTCATCAGACTTGTAATATATATGTATATTAACATAACTTCTCGAGGGATGCACCGTTCCTGTGGAACTCACTTCCTTCCTCCGTTAGATGCTCACCCAGTCTCCACTCCTTCAAAAAATTGTTACAAACCCACTTCTTCATAAAAGCGTATCAATTAAACTGTTAATAGCTCCTGACTGATTCCTCTCTTGCAACTGTCATTAGTCTAATACTATCCTTACCTTTTGTGTCACTTTACACCACTCCCTCTAGCATGTAAGCTCATTGAGCAGGGCCCTCAACCCCTTTGTTCCTGTGTGTCCAACTTGTCAGGTTACAACTACATGTCTGTTCGTCCACCCATTGTAAAGAGCTGCGGAATTTGTTGGCACTATATAAATAATAAAATAATAAATAATAACATAATAATCACGGCGAGTCACCCAACAAGAAGAAGAAGGAAGAGAAATATTTATATAATATTATATATTATAAGAGGTGCTTTTTTTAATCCAGCTTCTAATCATGTAATACATGAACACTTATAAGAGAAACATAATAATGAAATGGCAACTCTGTTCATTTGTCTTGCTTATGATGCAAGAGCATCCAACATTTTGTCTATTCTTATCGGACTGGAAAGAGAAGAAGCTGCTACAGATATAAAACATTTTTCTATTGGAACATTTGAACCAAAAACAAATTGAAGGGATAACTATTTTTTATTTCTAAATCTTGAATGAAGTGTTGCAAGAATGCTGTTTAATCTATTGTCTGGAACTTTGTCTATGTTGCAGCTCCGTCACATAATGCTAAACTATGGAATATCAGAGTATAATGAATATCCCAAAGGTGAGATTTTTCTAACAGAAATAAAATACATGGAGTAATTGATACGTATGCTAGACATTTTACCTTGACGGTGCTTTATTCATGTGAAGAACAGTTATAGTACTGTCCTAACTATGAAAAAACAACAGAAAAACTTGTTGTAATGTCCTATTTTTTTTTAACAGACAGAGGTGCCGGTACACATTACAGATCATTGACTTTAGGAAAATCACACCTTGATTTTTAAAGGCAACTGTCAGATAAAGGGAAATACATTTAAGCTTATTAACTTAACTGCTAATTTTGGGAAATAACTGGAATTTCAAATTTTAGGCCAAAAGTGCAACATTTAAAAGATTTTCCATCTCAAATATTTTTCCCAGCCTTACTGTTTTGATCTAACGTTTGACATTCCCTGCCAACAATTAATGGTTTAATGAGTAATCGAGCCATGAATAAACATTGACAGCTAACTAAGGTCCAAACACAATAGTAATAGACATGGGCAGTTATTGGTATATGAACACAACCACATACAGTCTATACAAATTACGCTGATTACTAAGCATGATGTCAAACATTGGGGGGCAGCAGCGTATCAGCACTTTCTGGGTGCACTACAGGTGCATGTGAAATAATGGAAGAGCTCCCACACTGACACCTCTGGGTGTGTGAATATGTCTGTGTATATCTGAGCATGTCAGGGCTATTTACTAACGTGGATATTTCTGGTAACTCAAAGTGAATTAATAGTGAATTTCAAATATAAGGTCAAAATTGCTGAATTGTTAAAATATTTTAAGTCAGCTATGGAACTAGTTCAGATAATTTGGTCTAAAATGTGAAATTGTCTTTGAATTCACTTTAAATTTGGAACTGTTTTCACTTTACTGAATAACCTTGTGTGTGTGTGTGTGTTTTAGTGTGTGTATGCATATGAGTGTGTCTGAGCATCTGTGTGTGTGCATCCATCTGTGTGGGTATACGGGGTCCTATAAGGGGGAGATGCCAGTTTGTTTCTCTCACGGTCACCTAAAGCATATGGGTGAAAAGATAAGGGTTTCTATCTTCCATGGATCAAAGATTGTTTCCTGTATATAAGTAATAGGGTTTTTAATTGGCAGCACTATTGCAAGATTGCAGCTCAAGATGATGATACATTTAATATTCTGGTTGCTGTGGAGCATAATTATCATGTTGGTTGAACAGTGGTTGCAGTCCACAGTGGCAAAATAAGGATTCTTCCCAAACATATTCTAGATAGCCCTACTAATTTGTGTGAAGACTGGCTAAATTGATACTCTGTCACAAGACACTGCAAAGTAATTTCACATTCATTAATAAGAGGAATTAAACCCACATTGGTTTATTGAAAATCCCCGTGCTGCAATAGTCTCCCACTTGAGGAAGAACAAAGTAATATTAATTTATATATGACGGTGACACCTGACATGATAACATCTGTTCGATTGCATGTGTAATAGATTTTAGACCCAAAATGTAAGTCAACAGTGACACCTGATGGTTATAAATGGCTATTTTTGTTTCAGCATTATATTTATCTATTTTTCCCATCAATAACATTATTATTTATGTCAATACACACATTTAGTCTTCCTTTTTAAAAACTACTTTTAAGAGTATGCAAAAATTCACTTATCTCTCTCTCTCTCCCTCTATTTTTCAGCTATGTAATATGACAAATAGAGACATTTATTGAAAAGATACAAGAAACATTGTACACAGGACAATAAGGCATCAGTCCCCTTCAAAGTATGCACCTTGGGACCTCATACAGTTCTTCCAGTGTCTCTTCCACAGTTAAAAAGACATCTGCCTCCTTGTTGTATTTACGGTCTGAAATCTCTTTTCATTAAAAAGTGATTTTAGTTTTGTGAAAAGCCAGAAGACGCAGTTCACTGAATCTTGGCTGACATATAAACCTCTTGGTTTCTTTTATATATATCTTTATATATGAGAGCAAGGGAGAGATATATGTATATATTATATAATATTGCATATATAAAAGGTTGCATATATAAAAGGTGGGTTAATTGAACATCAATGTGGATGCTAATGTTCAAATATCATTCTCCAAAATGTTCCCTCTTGCTTTGAATTGAATCTAGATTTATCTGCATTTACTTTTTGATGAGATAATGCTTTATTGAAGCAAGAAACTGCACAAATGAATATGGTAAGCTGCAGTTACATTTGATGCATACATATTTAAAAAATAAACGAAAAAAACCAACTCATAAAATAACAAATAAACAGAGAAGGGTGAGGGTAGGGAAAAGGAAAGGGAAGGGGAGAGAGGCCTCCAGGATAAGAGTGAGGAGACAGGATGCACAGATCAATTAACAAAAGAAAGTGCCATAAGACCTCTAGAAGACAAAGCCCAATGGAATTCTAGGATTCATCAATAGCCTGGACCAGTGGTGTGTTTTTATGACCCAGAAAGCATACTCCCCCTTCAACAGGGCCCAGTGTTAAAACCCCAACATGATGTTATAAATGGTTATTACCAATATGTAAATTATGTCAAAGCATATGTAAAATGCATAGGTATGTGTGCACAGTGGTGTATCCTGGTTTTGTGCTGCCCTAGGCAGGACAAAACTCAGGCACCCCCCTTCCCCCGCGCCACCTACATCCAACCCTTCCCCCCTGCCCCACCTTCTAAATACACACACACACACAGTCAGACACACACACACACAGTCAGACACAAACACACACACACAGACACACACACAGTCAGACACAAACACACACACAGTCAGACACACAAACACACAGTCAGACACAAACACACACAGTCAGACACACACACAGTCAGACACACACACCCACAGTCAGACACACACACACACACACACACACAGACACACACACACACACACAGTCAGACACACACACACACACACACACAGTCACACACACACACACACAGTCAGACAGACACACACAGTCAGACACACACACACAGTCAGACACACACACACACACACACACACAATCACTCACATTAACACTTTTTTTTTAAAATTTAACCCCCCCAGCCTCCTTACCTTTGGGAGTGCTGGGGGGGGGGGGTTCCTCTTTCTCCCTGGTGGTCCAGTGGCTGCCGGTCACGTCGCAGAGTGAGGCTGGGAGCCGGAAGATGATGTCATCTTCCGGCTCCCAGCCTCACTCTGCGGCGCACGAGGGAGCTGAGCAGACCACTCAGAGGAAGAGCTCCCTCACCAGCCGCCCGCCCACCGCCGCCCGCCAGCCCAGCATGTCAGTTAGCCGCGAGGCTAACTAGGCATTTGCCCTGGGCATTTGGGGGCTGCGTTTTTTGCCGCCCCCTGAAAAATGCCGCCCAAGGCAAATGCCTTGTTTGCCTCGCGGCTAATACGTCCATGTGTGTGCATGTGACTGTATGTGTAAGGAATGGCTACTTATGTATGCATCTGTGAATTTACATTAATTCTTATGTTAATGTGGACTCACACTTTAAGTGAGTTACATCTGAGAAAATCCAACAACACAAGTTGAGGAGGATCACTCACCTCACTCCTCAACAGAAAAAGAAATAATTATATTTTTATGGATCCTGGAGCGAAAAGGGGCATTCCAACATCAGCAACTGGACATACATGCCAAGTCCTTGTATACATAGCTGCCTCAATTGCCCTGTGTCCTAAATGATAGAAAGGACACTTCGGGTGCTTTTCTGAATTGGTGGCCGAGGTTATGCTTGATATGGCCGCACTGTGAAGAAAATTCGGCCCGGGCATTTTGTGTCCCACTAAAAAGGGGCGGGGCCAGATAGGGTGTGTTTTGTCATCACCAATGACAAACACGCCCCATCACAAAGTGAGCATGTTGATTCAATGCTCTTCCAGGGCAGACTATGCACAGAGCTCTGCTGAAGAGCTCTAGCATGAGAAAAATACCCTGTATTTGTTCTGCACAGCGCATGCAAATTTAATAACATGCTTGCATTGTGTTTGCTTGAAATTTGTCTCTGGTGTCTCCATAGATGGGATACCAGGAGACAAAAATGCCAGGAAAAAGTATTGTGCAGTGTGTGTGTGTGTAAGTGAGGGTGCTGTGAGTTTCAGGGGTGCAGTGTGTGTGTGAGGGTGCTGTGTCAGGGGTGCAGTGTGTGTAAGTGAGGGTGATGTGAGTGTCAGGGGTGCAGTGTGTGTGAGGGTGCTGTGAGTGTCAGGGGTGCAGTGTGTGTTTGTGTGTGTGAGTGAGGGTGTTGTGTCAGGGGTGCAGTGTGTGTGTGTGTGTAAGTGAGGGTGTTGTGTTAAGGGTGCAGGGTATGTGTGTGTGAGTGATTATATTCCCCCTCCCTTCTTACCTTTAGCCTGGGAGGGGGAATCGTGCTGCCGCCATCCCTGTTGGTGCTAGTGATGAGTGAACTCTAGCCTGTGGTGCTAGAGTTCACTCTCGCAAGACCCAGAGCATTGCCATGGCAATGCTCCAAATCTCGTGAGAGGATCCCGGTGGAGCTGCAAGTGTGAGCTCCTCCGGGTTCCTCTCCTGTCTCCCTCCTCTCTCCCCCGTCGGGGGCCACAATAAACCACATGTAGGCCAGTGAGGGAGATCTTTGATCTCCCCACCGGCCTGTCATGGACTTTAGCAGGGCTGGTGCTCGGATCCTATGATCTCCCCTGCCGGCTTTGGCCCACGGCCACCGCGGCCCACCGGGCATTTGCCCGGTATGCCCGATGGCCAGTCCGGGCCTGTTGGGAACCTAATGAGGATGCCCACATTAAATTTGTCATTCTAGACCTAAGCCTTGTGGACCTGGTAGAAAATACATCCGTAGACTGAACAGAACAATATCCTAATAAGGATTTCACAAAAGTGATGATCAGACACTGGTGGCTGTTAACTTGGCTGTGAAACATGCAAAAGCAGGTAATAGGATCCCTGCCCTTGTAAAATCCTTGAAAGACCGGGTCATGTGTTAAAAAAAACTCATTATGGTTTCAGCCAAGGGTTGGGTGGCACTCGGGTAACTAGCTGACCTTGAGTACCTTATTTTTGTTTCATGAATTTGGGTAAATTTTAACTTATTTTTATCTAAGTGTTACAAGATAGTGTGAACACACCTGTAAGGAAATATACACCTCAGTTCTAAGGTGGCCCATAGAGTGTCAAAACACACACTGAAAAAAAAGACACACATAGGGACTGAGGGAAAGAGACATATGGGGGAAGACACACAGAGAAACACAGAGGGACTGGAAAGGGACAAAGAGACACACAGAAAGGGTCGGGCAGGTGAGACAGAGACACAAATGGGTTGGGGTAAGAGACACACAAAAAGGAGTGGAGGAGCTTAGAAAAGTAACAGACACCCAAAGGAATTGGGGTAGAAAGAGACACACAAAAAGGCTGGGGTAGAAACAGACACAGAAAGGGGCTGTGGGGAAATAGCACTTGGGCAGGTAAGAGACACACAAAGAGTCTTTAGGGAAGTAAGAGACACACACAGGGGGTTCCAAGAGACATACAAGATAGGATGAGATATGCTAAAGGGGGGTGTAAGACAAAGGGGATAAGATACACTAAAGGGGGTAAGACATTGAAAAGAAGGAATAAGAAGCACAAAATAGGGTTTATGGTTTAAGAGGTGGGTTAACAAACACACAAGTTAAGATTTTTTTTTGGGGGGGGAGAGCGAGTGGCAA